CCCTTTGGATTAGGTCTGCTTTAGACCCCATGTGATAAGGTCCCTAGTCAGTCTCTCACAATTGTCACAACTCCCACTATCACTTCTCTGAAGATGCCTGCAACAGATGCTGGCAAAATGTCAGAAAGAAACTCTTCTAGAACATGGCCACACAGCCTGAAAAACCCACAAAAAACCTCGCAAAGTTGTATGTGTCTTTCCCAGCTCAGCTTTGTTCATGATACAGTTCAAAGCTCTTGAATCAGAAGACAATTCCAGTGGAATATACAGATGATATTTTTGTTATGTTTTTATGTATCTGTAAGGTAGCAGCAGCACTATAGCAGCATATGCTCACTGATTCCTACACTCTTTTCTCTATTTGCCTCTCCTTTCTGGATCTTGAAACAGATTTATATACTTCCCTATATGTAAGGATAAATCTGAAAACAGATGTATATACTTCCAAGTAAGTGTGAAATAAGTTAAAACAGCAGCTCATATTATGTTAGACTACAAATGGAATCCAGAAGTGATTCCCATGGTCTTGTGACTAACACACCCCATCAAAGAAATAGGACTCATCTAAAATGAATAGTTTATTACCAAGCAGAAAGATGGATGGATGGATGGATGGATAGATAGATAGATAGATAGATAGATAGATAGATAGATAGATAGATGAGAAAAAATGTATTTAGATCCTGTTCTAAGTCCCAACTGCTATAGCTCCACTCAGCTTTGTCCCTACTAAATTGTACATCTGGCCCCTCCATTACGTAAGGAAAAGGGGAAAAATCTCCTCAGTTTTTTTCCATTAGTGAGTCAGAGATGCAGCTTCATATTCAGCTTTAAAATGCACAAAAAAGGTGAAGGGATGGAAAGCAATATTCTCCATATGTCTCTAGGTGCACTACCTGTCTGGTTGCCATGCCAACAGAGCAGCATTATATTACACTTTCCACTATGTGGAATATGGCAAATATTGTGGGGGAGTTGGGGTTGGGGGGGATATAGAAAATTGCTGATTGCCAAAAGAAAAATATTATTTAAAGGAATTGTTTCAGAGAAAGAGAGAAAATATGCCTAGAAGTGATAAATCTCTGTTAGGCAGACTTGCCAGATTGAAAACTGGACAGGGTTCCTGTACCTTTAATACTTGTGTAGAAGAAGGAGTTTTAACAGATGTGTCTTGTCACACTACAAGATAACAAGCAACACCTACTATAATTCCCTTTTCTTCACAACCATTAAAGGGGCCCTGTCTAGTTTTCACAAGATAACTTATTTTGGTGAAATGATTCTTCTCAATGAAAAGGTAGCGCCAATACCTACATTGGCAATTCATGGCATCAGTTGAACGCCAATCTACAAAAGGGATTTTTCCCCCCCATCACTTGTGACTATGGGTTGAATTTTGTGGATGGCCAGTGGATCCACTCCTACAAGGACAGTAAATGCACTCTCCTTTCTTTTCTTTTCTTTTTACTGTCATTTCTTCCCTCATGCGAAACAAAGTGAGGTCAATGTGGTAAACATTCTTAAAAGGGAAGAACACACAAGCTGAGAAAGGCTGCAGATGTTTGCTTTTGCCTCAGCTTACTGGGAAGGGGAAGATTCCATCCACTCCTCTCCCTCCACTGAGTTAATTGGGCGCAAACTGCTTTTGCACTTTGAATCCAGTTTTCAACCATTGAAGTAAACCAGGGGAAAGGGGGAAAGTGGAGGAAGGAGAGAGAAACAGGGACAATTTAAAAACAGCTTCAGAAGTAGGATGATAAAGAATTGATCAGGACTGTCCCTGCCAAATCAGGACAGTTGGAGAATAAATGGAAAGGTGCCAGTAACAAAATTGAGGCCATCAGTGACAGTCT